ATTATTATTATTATTATTATTATTATTATTATTATTATTATTATTATTATTATTATTATTATTATTATTATTATTATTATTATTATTATTATTATTATTATTATTATTATTATTATTATTATTATTATTATTATTATTATTATCATTATTATTATTATTACTATTAATTATTATTATTGCTATTATTACTATTATTTTTATTAATTATTATTACTAATTATTATTAGCGATAACAATAGATATAATAGAAGCATTAGACGTTACAAATTTAAAGCGACAGTTTGCATTCATTATTCAAATTATTTTTCCTCATTGCTATCATATTTTCATTTCAGATGTATATGTTGCATGCATGTGTAAATTTATATTTTTAAGATTGGAAATTACTTTGAAAGTATTACAAGTATTATTATTATTATACAAAAGTTATTATACAAGTATTAGTATTATTATTATTCAATATTATTTTGAAGAAGTATACAGCACAGATTGTAATTTATCATTTTAAACCGATAAAATATGCCTAACGTATAACGTCTTTCCGTTTCAGGAAAATATTATGACCCGAAAATGGAAAAAATAAAGAAAAATTCAAAATAAAATAACTCAACATTGAATATTTTTAATAATTACTCCTCCATATATGAAAAACTTCAATACAAAGAAGTAATTAAAATTGAAAAAATGTTAAAATGAAGGAATAAATGAATTAAAATTGCGCAATTTTGAAGTCTATAATTTCCTTTTCCATTAATCAATCAATTTTGTTATTAATTTTTTTTCTTTTCCCTTCAATAAGGTAAATATTGAAATTTGAAAGCTTCTATTGAAAATAATAGAAAGTGGAAAAAAAAATAAAAGAAAAGAAGGGAATAAAAAGTATTTGAAATATAAAATTTCACGATTATCTCATCAAATATACATTAATCCTTTCTTTTTCATTCATTTTATCTTCCCTTTTTCCTTATTTCATTTTTATTTCATTTAATTTTAGTTTTATTCAACATTTATATTTCTAAAATTAAAAAAAAAAACTTTAAATTTTTCCACTGATAACTTTTCGATAAAAGAAGAAATCTTTTATCAGTGTGATTAAAGTTAAACAATTACCAATACAATATATTTCATGGAAATATGAAGTTAGAGAGATTCAAATACTTCAAACTAAATCAATCTTCGTGAAATAACGATTGCACTCTTAATGAAATAGGAAGCAGAAGACGGATGAATTTCATTTGCTTTCATAAATTATCGTTTCTAATTAAAAGACTTTCCCCTTCCAATTACTAACAGATGGGATGTAAATAATTATATCTAAACTATTACTGCAAAATTCATGCCATCATATTTCCAAAAAGATATTTAGGTTTAGTAAAATATTTATTTTTCATATTTACAAAAGAAAAAAAAAGCGCTTTAAATTATTTGAAAATTACTTAACAAATAATTAATAATTAGAAGCCATCATATAAGCCTATTTCTAAATGCTTTAAAAATTTAAATTATCCGTTAAGTGATGGATAAGAGAAGAAAAAAGAAAAAAAAAACAAAATAACCAATAGATTTAATCTTTAAAAAGACATAACCAATACTCATTCAATGGTATCACTTTCTTTTGTGATATAATTTTAAATGCTTATTCAAGAGATATTTTTAGCTTTTTCATTCTGAGAAACACAAATAAAATTAGTGGGTTAATTTTAATTAAATTTATATTAATTAAGGTTTATTATCGAATTCGTTAATTGCTTCTCTATTTTTATTAATTAAGTCTACATTTTATTAATTTGAATTGTTAATACATCGGATGAACATATTTTTGATTTCGATGCAAAATGATAAAAGTAATATTTATTTAGAATATATAGGAATTAAAACTTTATTACTTACATGCATCAAGAATTTGCTCTTTAACAATTCCGGATTCATTTTTGACAAGCAATCGAATAGTTTTACAATTGACATCATGTTTCCGGGATAGCATCTCAGCAACCGTAATGGATAGCAATGATGGATAGAGGATATTCCATTGGGTTCGATCGGATGAAAGCCGAAATAGCTCGGCCCAGAATCTATCAATAATCATTTTGGTTCGAAGTATGCCAAAATAATAATAAAAATTTGAATTTATAGAAAAACCTGGAATATTCCAGAAAGCAATTTTAGATAATTAAGATGAAAATAGTTTCGAATCGAAAAGAAAATTTTCTATATTAAGTACTCAATATTTCCTTCTCCAGAAAAAAATAAAAAAGAAATTTGATTTTCAATCATCAAATCAGAATGAATCTGAAAAAAAAAAGAGAATTGGAATGAAAGTGTACTTAATAATTGTTCGAATGATTTACTCATTAATTAAATTAGAAATTTACTAATTACAAATTACTTCAACTGTTCCATTTTTTTCGTCCTCACTTTCCTTCTTTTCTCTTTCCCCCCTCCTCCCTCTCTCTCCCTCTCTCTCTCCCTCCCTTATTTTCTCTCAGCCACCATAACGATAAGTTTTTTTCCATTCAAAAATTTAAATTTAAAATGAAAAAATGAAACAATTTGAATTTATTGCACAAAAAAACACACAAAAAAGAAAAACAAATAAATAAATGAATTGGAAAAGATTTTTTCTTGCTTGAAAAATTATAAGCAAAGTCAGTGCACACACATATACACACGCACACATACATCTACACACACACACACACACACACACACACACACACA